CAAAACTATTGAGCGTGCCGTCTTTAGCCAACTCTCTTGCTATCTCTCTCAGAATGACCTTCTTGATCCAAACCAGTCAGGTTTCAGGACTGGTCATTCAACTGAGACCGCTCTTCTCTGTGTCACGGAGGCTCTCCGCACTGCTAAAGCTAACTCTCTCTCCTCTGCTCTTGTCCTTCTAGACCTGTCTGCTGCCTTTGATACAGTGAACCATCAGATCCTCCTCTCCACCCTCTCCGAGCTGGGCATCTCCGGCGCGGCTCACTCCTGGATTGCGTCCTACCTGACCGGTCGCTCCTACCAAGTGGCGTGGCGAGAAGCTGTCTCCGCACCACGTGCTCTCACCACTGGTGTCCCCCAGGGCTCAGTTCTAGGCCCTCTCCTTTTCTCCCTATACACCAAGTCACTTGGCTCTGTCATATCCTCACATGGCCTCTCCTATCATTGCTACGCTGACGATACACAACTAATCTTCTCCTTTCCCCCTTCTGATAACCAGGTGGCGAATCGCATCTCTGCATGTCTGGCCGACATATCAGTATGGATGATGGATCACCACCTCAAGCTGAACCCTGGCAAGACGGAGCTGCTCTTCCTCCCGGGGAAGGACTGCCCGTTCCATGATCTCGCCATCACGGTTGACAACTCCGTTGTGTCCTCCTCCCAGAGTGCGAAGAGCCTTGGCGTGACCCTGGACAACACCCTGTCGTTCTCCGCCAACATCAAGGCGGTGACCCGATCCTGCAGGTTCATGCTCTACAACATTCGGAGAGTACGACCCTGCCTTACACAGGAAGCGGCACAGGTCCTAATCCAGGCACTTGTCATCTCCCGTCTGGATTACTGCAACTCGCTGTTGGCTGGGCTCCCTGCCTGTGCCATTAAACCCCTACAACCCCCCCCAAAAAAAAAAAAAAAGTATAATTGTAAAGTGGTTATCCCACTGGCTATAGGGTGAATGCACCAATTTGTAGTCGCTCTGGATAAGAGCGTCTGCTAAATGACATAAATGTGCCCTTGAGCAAGGCACTTAACCCTAATTGCTCCTGTAAGTCGCTCTGGATAAGAGCGTCTGCTAAATGACTAAAATGTAAAATGTAAATGTAGACGTAGGGAGGTTGAAATCCCCCAGAACTGTGAGGGGTGAGCCATCCTCAGGAAAGGAACTTATCAAGGCGTCAAGCTCATTGATGAACTCTCCAAGGGAACCTGGAGGGCGATAGATGACAAGGATATTAAGCTTAAATGGGCTAGTGACTGTGACAGCATGGAATTCAAATGAGGAGATAGACAGATGGGTCAGGGGAAAAATTGAGAATGTCCACTTGGGAGAGATGAGGATTCCTGTGCCACCACCCCGCTGACCAGATGCTCTCGGGGTATGCGAGAACACATGGTCAGACGAGGAGAGAGCAGCAGGAGTAGCAGTGTTTTCTGTAGAATCACCCATATTGAGATGTGTGATTTAAAACAGTCAAAATTACAACCTCATTAAAATATCAATTGAACAGGTAAAGACATACAGTGGGGAGAACAAGTATTTGATACACTGCCGATTTTGTAGGTTTTCCTACTTACAAAGCATGTAGAGGTCTGTAATTTTTATCATAGGTACACTTCAACTGTGAGAGACGGAATCTAAAACAAAAATCCAGAAAATCACATTGTATGATTTTTAAGTAATTAATTTGCATTTTATTGCATGACATAAGTATTTGATACATCAGAAAAGCAGAACTTAATATTTGGTACAGAGATCATACGTTTCCTGTAGGTCTTGACCAGGTTTGCACACACTGCAGCAGGGATTTTGGCCCACTCCTCCATACAGACCTTCTCCAGATCCTTCAGGTTTCGGGGCTGTCACTGGGCAATACGGACTTTCAGCTACCTCCAAAGATGTTCTATTGGGTTCAGGTCTGGAGACTGGCTAGGCCACTCCAGGACCTTGAGATGCTTCTTACGGAGCCACTCCTTAGTTGTCCTGGCTGTGTGTTTCGGTTCGTTGTCATGCTGGAAGACCCAGCCACGATCCATCTTCAATGCTCTTACTGAGGGAAGGAGGATGTTGGCCAAGATCTTGCGATACATGGCCCCATCCATCCTCCCCTCAATACGGTGCAGTCGTCCTGTCCCCTTTGCAGAAAAGCATCCTCAAAGAATGATGTTTCCACCTCCATGCTTCACGGTTGGGATGGTGTTCTTGGGGTTGTACTCATCCTTCTTCTTCCTCCAAACACGGCGAGTGGAGTTTAGACCAAAAAGCTATATTTTTGTCTCATCAGACCACATGACCTTCTCCCATTCCTCCTCTGGATCATCCAGATGGTCATTGGCAAACTTCAGACGGGCTTGGACATGCGCTGGCTTGAGCAGGGGGACCTTGCGTGTGCTGCAGGATTTTAATCCATGACGGCGTAGTGTGTTACTAATGGTTTTCTTTGAGACTGTGGTCCCAGCTCTCTTCAGGTCATTGACCAGGTCCTGCTGTGTAGTTCTGGGCTGATCCCTCACCTTCCTCATGATCATTGATGCCCCACAAGGTGAGATCTTGCATGGAGCCCCAGACCTAGGGTGATTGACCGTCATCTTGAACTTCTTCCATTTTCTAATAATTGCGCCAACAGTTGTTGCCTTCTCACCAAGCTGCTTGCGTATTGTCCTGTAGCCCATCCCAGCCTTGTGCAGGTCTACAATGTTATCCCTGATGTCCTTACACAGCTCTCTGGTCTTGGCCATTGTGGAGAGGTTGGAGTCTGTTTGATTGAGTGTGTGGACAGGTGTCTTTTATACACGTAACGAGTTCAAACAGGTGCAGTTAATACAGGTAATGAGTGGAGAACAGGAGGGCTTCTTAAAGAAAAAATAACAGGTCTGTGAGAGCCGGAATTCTTACTGGTTGGTAGGTGATCAAATACTTATGTCATGCAATAAAATGCAAATTAATTACTTAAAAATCATACAATGTGATTTTCTGGATTTTTGTTTTAGATTCCGTCTCTCACAGTTGAAGTGTACCTATGATAAAAATTACAGACCTCTACATGCTTTGTAAGTAGGAAAACCTGCAAAATCGGCAGTGTATCAAATACTTGTTCTCCCCACTGTATGTCTTAACCTATGCAGAAAAATCTACATATTTTTTACATACAGGGCATTCGGAAAGTATTTAGACCCCTTCACTTTTTCCAAATTATTCAAAAATGGAATAAAACAAAAAATAATATCATCAATCTACACACAATGCCCCATAGAGACAAAGTAAAAACAGGTTTTTAGACATTTTTGCAAATGTATTAAAAATTAAAAACGGAAATATTACATTTACATAAGTATTCAGACCCTTTACTCAGTACTTTGATGAAGCACCTTTGGCAGCAATTACAACCTCAAGTCTTCTTGGGTATGACGCTACAAGCTTGGCACACCTGTATTTGGGGAGTTTCTCCCATTCTTCTCTGCAGATCCTCTTAAACTCTGTCAGGTTGGATGGCGAAAGTTGCTGCACAGCTAATTTCAGGTCTCTCCAGTGATGTTCGATCGGGTTCAAGTCTGGTCTCTGGCTCGGCCACTCAAGGACATTCAGAGACTTGTCCCGAAGCCACTCCTGCGTTGTCTTGGCTGTGTGCTTAGGGTCGTTGTCCTGTTGGAAGGTAACCTTTCGCCCCAGTCTGAGGTCCTGAGCGCTCTGGAGCAAGTTTTCATCAAGGATCTCTCTGTACTTTGCTCCGTTCATCTTTCCCTCGGGATGGTGCCAGGTTTACTCCAGACGTGACGGTTGGCATTCAGGCCAAAGAGTTCAATCTTGGTTTCATCAGACCACAGAATCTTGTTTCTCATGGTCTGAGACCTTTGCCTTTTGGCAAACTCCAAGTGGGCTGTCATGTTCCTTTTACTGAGGAGTGGCTTCCGTCTGGCCACTCTACCATAAAGGCCTGATTGGTGGAGTGCTGCAGAGTTTTCCTTCTGGAAGATTCTCCCATCTCCACAGAGGAACTCTGGAGCTCTGTCAGAGTGACCATCGGGTTCTTGGTCACCTCCCTGACCAAGGCCCTTCTCCCCCGTTTGCTCAGCTAGGCGATGTGGCCACCTCTTGGAAGAGTCTTGGAAGAATGATGGAGGCCACTGTGTTCTTGGGGATCTTCAATGCTGCAGACATTTTTTGGTACCCTTCCCCAGATCTTTGCCTCGACACAATCCTGTCTCTGAGCTCTACGGACAATTCCTTCGACCTCATGGCTTGGTTTTTGCTCTGACATGTACTGTCAACTGTGGGACCTTATATCGACAGGTCCAATCAATTGAATTTACCACAGGTGGACTCCAATCAAGTCGTAGAAACATCTCAAGGATGATCAATGGAAACAGGATGCACCTGAGCTCAATTTCAAGTCTCATAGCAAAGGGTCTGAATACTTACGTAAAAATATATTTCTGTTTTTTGTTTTTAATACATTTGCAAAAATTTCAAAAAAACTGTTTTTGCTTTGCCTTTATGGGGTATTGTGTGATGATTGATGAGGGAAAAAAGTATTTAATTCATTTTAGAATAAGTCTGTAACGTAACAAAATGTGGAAAAAATAAAGGCGTCTGAATACTTTCCGAATGCACTGTAGAATTAGGCATAATGATTATGGCTCTAAATTGCAGAAAGAAAGCTGTTTCAGGTGTTTGAAAAATTAGAAATTCTGCAACTTCCTTCCACCTCCATCCTCACGTACTTTGTGTCCCCTGTAAAATAATGAGTGCATGACACCCCTGCCTGAGCATATAGTTAGTTATCTGTCCCTGAATGCCCTCAGAGAGAAGCATCAGCAAATGCAGTGTATAGAAATGACCAACAGATGGCAACCATGTTTGACAAACTATATTCTTTCAATCTTCTACACATAACTTTTTGTATGTTAGGAGCGGACAATATAATTTGAAGTTAGACACAAAATTATTGTTGTCACAAAAGAGAATATTTGGATGAGGGGGAAATAAGTAAGCTACCTGTATGACCCCATACCCTGCTGCTCTTCTTGTCTCAGGTTATGGAGAGATCTATCCGGTGACCCTGCCTGGTAAGGTGGTCTGTATCCTGTATGCCATGGTGGGTATCCCGCTAATGCTCCTGGTTATCACAGATGTGGGAGACCTCCTGGCCATGCTCCTCTCCAGGGCATACCGCCACCTGCACACTCTCTTCTGCAGGTTGCCCCAATACGGCAGCTGGTCCTCCTCCCAGGACACAGAGAATCCAGGGCACGGGGGCCTCCAGGACAGGACCTATACCTTCAGCCACGAGGTGGTGGTCCGGGAGCCCATGGACATCCGACAGGTCCTCCACAGCCAGCAGTCTGTGAAGCGCAAGTCCATCCAGCTGCGGAACAACACAGAGCTCTTTGACCGCATCATTGCACGGGAGAACTTCAACAGGCAGGGCCCACTGATGCGGAGCCTGTCCTGCCCTGAACTGGACCGCATGCCCCCCTTGCCCAAGGGCTTTGCCATCTGGGACTTCACAGGCATCGGGGACAAAATGGACAAACTGAACGTCCCGCTGCTCCTCATCCTGGTGGTGGTGTTTGCCTACATCCTGTTTGGAGGCCTCATCCTGCCCCTGTGGGAGACAGAGTTTGACACCTTTGATGCCTACTACTTTTGCTTCATCACCCTCACCACCATCGGCTTCGGTGACATCGTGCCCAACCACCCCAAGTACTTCATGCTCACCTTTGTCTTCATCATCATGGGCATGGCCATCATGTCCATGGCCTTCAAGCTGGGCCAGTCACGCATCGTCAGCTGCTACCGCCAGTGCATGCGCTGCATCAGCGGGGGGAAGGTGGAGAGGTATGACGAGTTGGGGAGCGACTGAGTCAAAGAGTTTTGGCCTCCACCGGGCGGCTCAAGAGTTCTAGGGTTATAAGGCCCTGCCATTGTGGGCCCAAAAAGCACTAAGCACAAAGTTCTGTACGGCTGACTTGGGAACAGTGTCTAGCTCAGGGGGGTGCAAAGCTAACCCTTGAGCTGACCCCTCATCATAAGCATGAGCAAATGAAAATGTGCATGTGACCAAAGCTTAAGCAAAATTGTGTGACTTTATGTATGTGAGATGTATCTAACATGGCTGTTGGCCGAATATAGATATTCTCTCTATGTCTGGATATATTTATCCAACGAGTTACTTATACTATCAATGGTATGTATACATGTCGTCTACAGTTCAACCTGTTGTTCCACTACTCTACCTTTGATTTAGGATGGGGACATCCCAATCTACTGTTGGTAGATTTGACTGAAGCTGCAATGACTCTTGCATTGGTTAGAATTGTTTATGAGTCTTTGTTCAAGTTGTGAGATAAGTGCAGATAAGTGCACATTTAAGCTTGCGCCTGCATTTTTCAGTGCCTTCTGTATAGGGAATAATATGGTAGCAGTTTATTTTTACAGTACTGTAACACTGGTATTTATTTACCTTGTATTTATTATCAATGTATACGTTCTGGTGCTTACTTAAAATAATTCAACACAATTAGAAGCTATAGTACCTGGTACCAAATGGTTATTGTTGTGTAGTTATCATGTATAAATACTTGGTAATGTATGTATGGTAAAATGAAGTACTACCAATAATCTTTTTTCAAATTGCCTTCTGTGTTCATTGAGATAAGCTGTCTGTTATTAAGTTAGTCTTTGGCTGTGTGCATTTTATGTGCCAGCACTATCTCCTAACATGCAAATACAGTAGTGTAATGGAGAAATATGAGAAATATGTTGTTATCTTAATCACCCTGCATGCATAAGCTCATGCTGTCTAGCAAACTGTATATCCTGCTTTCACATCACCATTAAAACATGTTCCACTCAATGTGTGGTGTCTAAATATTTTATGAAAGAAATGACGTGAGACATTGTGAGACATTACTCACACAGTAAATTCCAAACAGCAAAATATGATATGCTTATATCCTTTTAGTATGGCAGCAAATTCTCAGAGAGCAGAGAGAAAAAATAAAGGTATAGAGTGAAGTCTGACAAAGGGCCCATAACTCAACCTGAGGGACAATGTTGTAAAGGGGGGTTTGTTGTCAATGGCCAATCACAGGAGACCACAACCACCATACCACTTCTCATAAAACCCCAGTAGCAACAACATAGGCCTACTACATTTCAGGAAAGCAACTGTGTCATTACATTTTGAGGTAACCAATATATAACATAGTTGGATCTACTCCCACAGCAACAACATACTAATAAATCACAAAAAACAAAGGTACAAATTAACTTAAGGTTGAGAAAAGGTGTTCTTGGTAAACTTGTGTTGGCTATGCAACCGGAGGGGCAGGAGGCTATGGTTACTCAATGAGCTGGAGATCTCATAGGTCAGTCAAGGAGGTGAATAGGCTACAATGGTTGTAGGATTATGTAATTGAGTGGGTGAAACATGATGGGTTGCAGAAAGAGTGGTCATTTTTTAAATCTTTATAATACAAGCCTTCTTGGCCAACATCCTGACTTAGGTTATCCTTTAGATGTGGATGAAATAGTCTGTAAACTGGTGGTGACATCATAGTTTGAATATGTCAATATGGTTAAGGTTTGCTTCAGTTTAACTGGATGAAGGTAGTGGATAAATCCAGGGCCAGTAAAATGCAATGCAATTACACTTTCAGTCGCGTGAAGTCGTGCAATGCAAAGATAGGTTGTTCGCTGTTTATTACAACACATAGGCCTCCTAGTGTCAGTTTGTCATTGTCTCATGAAGATGCAAGAGACGTCATAAAACACAAGATGGTGCCATTGCCACCCTTTACTGCAATGAAGTGTTCAAAAGCATGCATAATGATGAACCTTTTCCTAAATAGACGGAGTATAGTTGTTTAGAGATGATTCTGCACTGATCTTGCATAAAAAGATAGGAAGATGAGGGTTTCTGATAAACGCAGGAGGTCAAGTCAAATGGTTGATAAAAAGTGATTTTGACGAGGCAGGAGTGGTCAACCGTGTAAAAACAGGGTCTGGCATGCTTTGTGACGGTTGACGGTTGGCTTGACAGGTTTTGTGACGGCTGACTGTTGCTAAAAGGGATCTAGTTTTACTTAGCTCCCACAGGTTCCATAACGGTGTCATATATATAACATTGTAGAGATGCTGTCGCTGTATTGAAACATGGGAAGTTACAAAGGAGTGTGTGTGTTCTTATTCCAGCTTTTGGTTCGCAGCCCCATGCGAAATCTCTTTTAAGCGTGTTCCACATTGCTCGCGTGCAAGCAAGCACACCCATGCACACCTGCTGCACACATATAGGCTATTGCTTATGTATGATCATGAATAAACTGTATTTGATTTACGTAGTCAAAAAAATGCTAGAATGTCAGTCTCATACTGTTACTCTGATAAACTGTAGTTGGGTTCAAAATTATAATGATAACCCTCAGAAGTGTAAGAAACGAATAACTTTTTGTAACATGTAATTTTGTAAATTTCATATCACGCACATCATGAAAACCCAGACTACCACATTGTCTCACGATTTCGACATTGTCTTCAATGTTATTTGCTTGTGCGAATCCCTCACTGTGATGCTGTATGAAAGGATGTTCACGATAAAGGTTGCATGACGTCAAGGAGCATTCAAGTAACTAAAACGCCCCGCATCTATTGTTCCTTTCGGGTTTGCGGCCGCAAAGGGATTTTTGCTAATGTGCATCTAAGGTAAGATTTCAACCATTATGGCACTTTTAACACATTTCAGGTCACGATCTCTTGAAGCAGATGTCCCGATTTCTACTTTATTCCAATGGCACTTAAGCGATTAATGTTAGCCTACACCACTCTGTATTTGGGCATTTTACATTGCCTTGTGTGAAATCTATACAATCTATACAAAATGAACATTTATTTATATGACATTTTAACGTGCGTGATTTGCCATTAGGTTTCTATACGATAGTAGCCTACATTTTTTGTTTCCAGACTGTCACTCTCTGGTGTCCATAACGTTTGTTCTTTTCTCTCCAGAGCGAATATTTTTTTCACTTGCTCCTTTGTGGACTCTAAAAATGGGAAGATTAGACACTCTGAGAGAATTTAATTTATTGTCATGGATGAGAGAGGAAAGACAATCGAGGAAGTTGATCCTGGTCATCGTTTTCATCGCCTTGCTGCTGGATAATATGCTTCTAACGGTTGTCGGTAGGTGCAACTTTGGATAAAGTATTTTCACACCGGTTACCTGTTGCGTCAACTATTATTTCACCCATTGAAACTCGCATTGTATTTCTAAAACCAATTGGAGTCTGTTGCTAGCCTAAATAACCCATCAACAATTTGGACACATGACAGATATTCTTTTGAACCATGCAATGTTTGGTTATTTCCATTTTAAGAAGGTTGTATTCTCCTCTTTGTTTCGAGTAGTTACATTTTGTTTTTTTGGTGTGGAACAAAAGTTATTAATGTCAGCGTCCTGGCTATTGTTTTCCAATAATAAAAAAAAGAAACTAGGCTAGTCTAAAGCCTATGATTTGCTCAAAATGTAGCCTTGCCTGAAGCTTTGTAATAATATACGAAATAAGACACTAGCTACTTCAGTTGTTAATCTTGCATAGACCTGGTCATATAATTTCATTTAATTCAAATAAGATAGACATTGATTGGTTTGTCATCCAATATTAGATAGCACAATGAGTAAGAATTAATGCATAAAATATTTCATAAATCAAACAGATTGTGAATTCAAATGCTATTATACCCATAATAACATATTAGTAGGCGGCCAATGTGCAACAATGTTGTTCCCTAAACGTTTAATATGTCTATTATGATTATTAATGTTATCAGATTGTGTCAAATTGCTATCAACCTTAGGCATTTTCAAAAGCTGTAGCCGATAGTGTAAAGCTTCACAGGGAGATTAATTGTTCATAATTTAACATAATTTATATTGCCTTTCACGTGGCCAAGTAAAGAGTAATTATTAAATGAAAACTGGTGGACCGGGATGGTGGACCCGCTACAGATGTATTTTTGGTCCCAAGGTCCCTGTTCACTTGATTTACTTGAAAGCATCAACACTGCCATTACCAATGAATCTCCCAGACGTATCCGATAGATTATAGATGACATTGATGTGCGCGTAAATGCTGTTATTTTGCGCGAGATTGCACCCTCAGCGCTGGACAGGTCTCCCGGACATGTCCATTGAGCACTGGATACAGGTGCGCATTGGAAGAATGTCAGAATATATCAGTCAGAAATTACTCTAGAGTAGCTAGCTGTATATGCCTATATGTGATTGGAGGCAAATCTATAAACAGCAAGGGCATAACTTTGTGTTACATACTGGATCAATGGGTTTCAGTGGCAACACCCTTAAGGTAGGTCTGGGGGAATGCCCCCCAAGAGATTAAAAAAATTAAATAAAAATAGCTGTGAAATTGTTATTTCTGGTGAATTTTTAAGGGAACATATCCAAAAATGTCCTGATAATTTGGTACCCCAATCACAACTGAAATACCAATATTTTTCTATATTACTTGTAACTGTGTTCTTACTCGTAACAGTTCAGAAAGTCACCACCACACCCCTTCTTTAACTACATTTAAATGTCAAAACCCATTCATCTATTTGTGTACCCTTCACCATGCTTGGCTAGTAGATGGTCTTGAATAACTAATTTCTCATACCGAATTAACTTAAAAGGAGTCGAGGCAATCTGAGTCCAGAAACATCTTACTTGGTTACACAATTTTATTGCAGTATTAATTCGTACAATAATTCAGTGACAGTCAAAATATAACTCCTCAATAAGGAATAAAATGCTATAGCAATAGACTTCAAAATAAATAAATCAGTATGGCATCATGCTCAAGAAATAGACTTAAAAATATACCCATCAGTATGGCCTCATGCTCAAGCAATAGACATCAAAAATGCATAGCAACAACTCATTGTCATTCACCATCAAGTAAAAAACACACACATTCAATAACAGTCAATAACCGGTTGCAACCTTATACAAAGGTGGGCATATAGTGGTACAGAGATGGGTCAGATCTTTAGTCTCAATTCACTTAAATGCACCAAATACCTGTTTACGCATGTCACTGCAAGCAATATAATTATGGCATATTGTTTTCCTATCTATGGTATCCAGCTTTTCCAGGTGGATATGACAGACATCAACATGGTTCAATCTGCTTTCTCACCTGATGACCTGTTTGTCCTCTCCCTGCCTCAACATGGGTGGTGCTCTCTCTCTCCCTCTCTATACTGCCTGTCTCTGACCCCTGTCATGACAACCAAATGAAATCAGAATATAAGCAACAACATTTGTTATAGCACTTGGGTACCAGTCTATTAGGAATTGTACAGTGTAGTTAGCTAGCTAGCTTTGTAGCCATTCATTCATTTACGTAGTATTTTGCACTCCCAAAAATAAACTAATGTACTGCACTTTTCTCTTCTTTGGTGTTGGCACCTCCATTAAAGGCACTATCTACTTTTTCACTAAGGTGAACACTGACTCACTGAGTGCTGCTCATCTGAAACTGCAGTTGAAAGGGAAAAGGAGAAGATCCAGAAACAATGCTAACTTTGGTGCTAGCTTATTAGCTAATTTAGCTAACATTAGCCTAGCTACAATAGCCAACCTAACATTGCATGCATCAGTATAACTCGTATAAAACTATTCATCACCATTAGTTCGCTAGTTACACAACAACATAGGAATACATCAATGAAATGTTCATGAAGTTCTACTCATTGCAAATTGGCCTGTTTCAAATATTGGGGAGGTCATGACCCCCTAATAATTAATATGATAAAAACATGATAATAACATAAAAATATTAAAATAATAGGCTAAAACCATCTTCATGGGGCCAATTATTGTGTTATCTGCCATATTTATAGCTAAATGAGTTAAATCCAATCAATCTATTCTTAAACCTTTGAAACAAATGTAGTGTGTGTCCTAATGTCACATCCGCTACACAAATCAAATAAATATGAAATAAATTCTTAATTATATTCCACACAGACTTTGTATAGTGTTCAAATCGTGGTTAGGTCTATCAGGGAGAAGTTATATCAGAATATAGGAGATATAACCTTTTTCAACATCTCTTTTTCTGATCTTTTATTCTTGGTAGTCCCCATCATCCCTAGCTACCTATACACAGTTGATGATGCAGCAGCCAACATGGCCAAGAATCACACTACGGCCTCCCCACATACCCCTTCTGGAACCTTCCAGACCATCGTGTCCCTCTATGACAACTCTGTCAGGGTAACCAGCGGGGGCCCAATGGACTCCACACCCATACCCTTGGGTCAGACGCAGGGGGTCTCTCCTTCCACCTCGGCTCTCACACCCCACAACTCCACACAGCCCGACTGCCCCAAAGCAGATGACCAGCTGCTCAATGAGAATGTGAAAGTGGGACTACTCTTTGCCTCCAAGGCCACTGTACAGCTCATCACCAACCCCTTCATTGGGCCTCTCACCAACAGGTGGGTGAATGACAGCCTCTAACCGTCACATTTCCCCATGTCCACACTGGTGTGTTTACTGTTACTCACTCTTTTTCAAATATCATATTTTTATGCTTATTTCTAGATTATTTTAAATTGAATGCCAGCTGTGAACTGGTTTGCATGGCAACTAGCTTAGCTGTATATTCATATAATTCAGGTTTCATAAGACCTGTCTATTTATGTTACCCTTGTTTATGAAGAGCTGCGGCAGGTAGCCTAGCAGTTAAGAGCATTGGGTCAGTAAGCGAAGGTCGCTGGTTTGAATCCCCGAGATGACTAGGTGAAAAATATGTAATTGTGCCCTAGAGCAGAGTGTCTGCTAAATTACTCAAATTTAAAAGTTTTAGCATTTAAAATGATTCACTGGTTGCACTCATTTATAAAGTGGTTGTTTCATACAGTTATGACTTGATTTGACTAAGAATTAAAACAAGTAGTTTTGAATCACACTAAAATGAGATGACAGCAGGCAGGCAAGCTGGACCAGTGTGTGTATCTTCAGAGTTCAGTGCATAGTCACATGCAGTGTGGGTGCCTGCCAGGTCACAGTGGCTTCCTGCTAGCCCAGAGCTAAATGGTGACTCAGCTTGCCCTGAGTTTGGGTACTCAGTCAAAGGTCATTATTTAATAACATGTATGTATTTATCTAAGTCAAATCACAGTATAAATGGAAAGAAAGACCAGTAACAGACTCTTTTCAAGTGACAGGGAGGAAAATCAAAAACGGATAACATTTGTACAGTATATTGCTATTTTGAGACCAAATGGCATGTCAGTTAATAATAATAATAATAATTTGCCATTTAGCAGACGCTTTTATCCAAAGCGACTTACAGTCATGCGTGCATACATTTTTGTGTATGGGTGGTCCCGGGGATCAAACCCACTACCTTGGCGTTACAAGCGCCGTGCTCTAATCCTGCCTGCTCCCATGTAGCTAAATTCCTGTTTAGGGATTTGTGTTGGATTTATGCTTCCCTGTATGCATCCAGCATGCATTCAGTATGGATCTCTGCTTGTAGTGCTTTACAAGCACTTGTAGTTATTGTTTTGAACTACTTACTGTTTTAAAATTGCTCAATATCGATTATACTACAGATCAATTATTTTATAGACATACCTGTATGTTAGCACACATTCTGAAAGACCAAGGTGTCAGAGATATTACTGGGAGGTATTTTCTTATGGAATGCGCCCACGGTTAAAATAAGGAATCAGTCAAGATGTGAGCTCTAGCAGTGCTCACTGCTCAGTATTGGCAAATGCATCAAGGCTAGTATTTACCGTCTCAACTGGGCACCACAATATGCTGTAATTGAAGCAAACAATAGAATCCTATTATTTCCCCTTGGTCACCTTCGGCTTGGATAAGGACAACACAAGGCAAGTCATGCATGTCAGTTACATGGAACAAAGCCTGCAGTACACACTCAAGTTGTACAACTACTGATGTGCAATGCATTGTGATACAACATAATTTTTCTGCACAAAAATACTTTTTAAAGCATTGACACCACACAATGGTTGTGTAAACAGTATTGAGAAGGGATGTCTCTATGTGCTTACAGAATAGGATACCAGATCCCCATGTTTGCCGGGTTCTGTATTATGTTCCTGTCAACCATCAGTAAGTATTACCCACATCCACACCCGTCAGATCCACACCTGTTTTCAGATCTCACAACGTGTTTCAATGATGTCTATTCATGATTTATGTTTTCCTTCGTTTTCTTTTGTCTGAATTTCTATTGTCATTGTTGTTGTTGTTAAGTGTTCGCCTTCTCATCGAGCTACACTCTGCTGTTTCTGGCCAGATCCCTGCAGGGTGTGGGCTCCTCCTGCTCCTCCGTGGCTGGTAAGGTCCTTGGCATTAGCCCTGACATTTATGGATGCTTTCAGGATTAGCTTCACTTTGAGACAGCTGCAGCAAGAACATACAGTTTCTCCAGAAACTTCACCTTTTCATTACTGTAGGCCTACCTTGTTATGTCTCTCAAGTTGAACAATCATTTCTCACAGCTCTAGTGGAGTTATTGAAAGGTGCTGTGGTAGAGGGACAAATACTCCTAATATAGCGCTGGCAAATGTCTATTCAAACAGTCAGAGCAGTGTTTCAATAAAGTGTGCTATAAATAAATAAAATACCCTGACTGCTTTAACCAAACATATACACTACCGTTCAAAAGTTTGGATTCACTTAGAAATGTCCTTGTTTTCGAAAGAAAAGCAATTTTCTTGTCCATTAAAATAACATCACATTGATCAGAAATAGACATTCTTAATGTTGTAAATGGCTATTGTAGCTGGAAATGGCTGATTTTTAATGGAATATCTACATAGGCGTACCAGAGGCCCATTATCAGCAACCATCAGTCCTGTGTTCCAATGGCATGTTGTGTTTGCTAATCCAAGTTTATCATTTTAAAAGGCTAATTGATCATTAGAAAACACTTTTGCAATTATGTTAACACAGCTGAAAACTGTTGTGCTGATATAAAAAGCAATACAACTGGCCTTCTTGAGACTAGTTGAGTATCTGGAGCATCAGCAATTGTGGGTTCGACTACAGGCTCAAAATGGCCAGAAACAAATAACTTTCTTCTGAAACTCGTCAGTCTATTCTTGTTCTGAGAAATGAAGGCTATTCCATGCGAGAAATTGCCAAGAAACTGAAGATCTCGTACAACGCTGTGTACTATTCCCTTCACAGAACAGCGCAAACTGGGTCTAACCAGAATAGAAAGAGGAGTGGGAGGCCCCGGTGCACAACTGAGCAAGAGGACAAATACATTAGAGTGTCTAGTTTGAGAAACAGACGCCTCACAGGTCCTCAACTGGCAGCTTCATTAAATAGTACCCGCAAAACACCAGTCTCAACGTCAACAGTGAAGAGGCGACTCCGGGATGCTGACCTTCTAGGCAGAGTTGCAAAGAAAAAGCCATATCTCAGACTGCCCACTTAATCTTTTCTTTTTATTGGCCAGTCTGAGATATGGCTTTTTCTTTGCAACTCTGCCTAGAAGGTGAGCATTCCGGAGTCGCCTCTTCACTGTTGACGTTGAGACTGGTGTTTTGTGGGTACTATTTAATGAAGCGGCCAGTTGAGGACCTGTGAGGCGTCTGTTTCTCAAACTAGACACTAATGTATTTGTACTCTTGCTCAGTTGTGCATCGAGTTTCAGAAGAAAGTTATTTGTTTCTGGCCATTTTGAGCCTGTAATCGAACCCACAATTGCTGATGCTCCAGATACTCAACTAGTCTCAAGAAGGCCAGTTTTATTGCTTCTTTAATCAGCACAACAGTTTTCAGCTGTGCTAACATAATTGCAAAAGGGTTTTCTAATGATCAATTAGCCTTTTAAAATTATAAACTTGGATTAGCTAACACAACATGCCATTGAAACACAGGACTGATGGTTGCTGATAATGGGCCTCTGTACACCTATGTAGATATTCCATAAAAAATCAGCCGTTTCCAGCTACAATAGCCATTTACAACATTAACAATGTCTACACTGTATTTCTGATCAATTTGATGTTATTTTAATGGACAAACAAATTACTTTTATTTCGAAAACAGTCAAATGTAAACTTTGTTTCCATATCATTTTGACCAAAAAAATCTATGTGATGACGATGAATCAATATGGAAAACTGATTGGATTAGCAAAAAGTAATCAAAGAAAAATAAATTGGTTAGTTTTTTATTCTAAATCCAATGACATTGTGAAATTTTTTGTTGATTTCATGTTGAATTCACGTTAGTTGACAACTCAACCAAATGTAAATCAAAAATAGATGTTGAACTGATGTCTGTGCCCAGTGGTTAGCTACATGTCCTGTTCTTCTTCTATAGGGATGGGGATGCTTGCCAGTGTGTACACAGATGATGAGGAGAGGGGAAATGCCATTGGGATAGCCCTGGGTGGTCTCGCCATGGGTGTGCTTGGTATGTACACAATTCATGATGCGTTTGAGCTCTTTGTAGACTACAGTAACAGGCTACGGTTGGCCAAAACCATTGACCATCTTTACTTTCTTCCACCCAGTGGGCCCACCATTTGGCAGTGTCATGTATGAGTTTGTGGGGAAAACGGCCCCTTTCCTCATTCTGGCTGTTCTGGCTGTGCTGGATGGAGGTAATGTGGCCATGTTTCTATCATGAAGCAGAAATACTGTTTTCTCCAATCAGGAGTTACCTGTTTAGGGATGCTAACTAAGTTCAGCCTCCGTGTCTCCCAACAGCACTGCAACTGTTCATTCTCCAGCCCTCAAAGGTGGAACCAGAGGTGAGTATATTGCTATAGATTTTACAGCTCTTTTTACAATTATTTATGTAAATTCATTGGAATGTGTTCACAATCACCAGATCACTGTGATATCAATAGTGTATTATATGTGATTTTATTGGGATTGGATTCAAACAGTGTTTTTCCAGATGATTAAAGTGCTTTACACCAGCGATTCTGAAATGGGGGTCGCGACTCACGATGGGAGATTTTAAATGGGTCGCGGGTGTCTGAGTAAAAAAAAAAAAAAAGTCTGAATTTAAACAACTAAATGTGTAGGTCTCTGGTATGATGGGTTACCATCCCCGTTAGAGGAGATGTGTGCCTGTGATGGAGATTCCTATCACAACCCCTCTGACTTTGATCTATGGGGCTGATGTGTATCAGTCACCACAGATACCAAGGAGGCAGAGATTGAATCAGAGCGCGAGATGATGGCTGTGATTGTCAGACCAATGGCGCTTAGACGATGTTTAGTTGTGGATGATAGGGGAAAGTTGTTTATGTTTGAAATTGTTGTTTTGAAGAATATTAAAAAGGGGAAAAGGGAATGGGTCTGGGTCATGACATAATCCTCACTATTAGTACATAGCTGTCATTAAGCTTAGAGATGGTGCCAGAGGGACTGACAACGGGTTATTGTCAGCGCTGTGCCAGTCTTCAGTAAACTCAATGACTATGTGTGGACATTTTCTATTCAGTACTGTAAGAGCAGGGACCCTCAGAATAGAGAGGGAAAATTGTGTTTCAGTATGACATAAGCACAGATAGTAACCAAACATCATTGTGGAATGATGTAAACGCACAGACAGTACTGTAGCAATTATGTACCATATAGCATTATTTTTGGCTGCCTTTTTGTATTAATCAGTTTTGACATGAAACTCATGGCTCTCTGTTTAGCTCTACATTTCATGTCCCTTGTGACGAGGTGTGAATGAAGGAGTCAGGCGCAGGAGGTAAAACACCGAAGTCCAGAGTTTATTCCGTTTACATAAATAAAATGCACCCAGCGTCAACCGAGCTACTCGCTCTCACAATAAACAATCACTCACAAAGACAAGGGGAACATAGGGAACACTTATACACATACTAATTAGGGGAATGAGCACCAGGTGTGGGTGATTGACAAGACAAGACATGACAAGTGGAGTGATGAGAATGGGATCGGCAGTAGCTAGTAAGCCGGTGACGACGAACGCCGAAACCTGCCCGAACAAGGAGGGGAGGCAGCCTCGGCGGAAGTCATGACAGTACCCCCCTTGACACTTGGCTCCAGCAGTGCGCTGACCCCGGCCTCGGGGACGGCCAGGAGGACGCGGAGCAGGGCGAGTCGGATGGCGACGGTGGAAATCCCTCAACAGGGAGGGATCGAGGATGTCCCTCCTTGGGACCCAGCACCGTTCCTCCGGACCGTACCCCTCCCACTCCACGAGATACTGAAGGCCCCCCACCCGACGCCTCGAATCCAGTATGGAATGGACCAAGGACGCCGGGGCCCCCTCAATGTCCAGAGGACGTGGAGGAACCTCCCGCACCTCAGACTCCTGGAGCGGACCAGCTACCCCCGGCCTGAGGAGAGACACATGAAACGAGGGGTTAATACGGTAATCAGGGGGGAGTAACAACCTGTATGTAACCTTGTTTATCCTCCTCAGGACTTTAAACGGCCCCACAAACCGTGGGCTCAGCTTCTGGCAGGGTAGGCGGAGGGGTAGATTCCGGGTCGAGAGCCAGACCCGATCCCCCGGTGCGAAAACAGGGGCCTCCCTGCGGTGGCGGTCAGCGCTCGCCTTCTGACGACGCACGGCGCGCTGGAGGCAAACTTGGGCAGCGTCCCAAGTCTCCTCCGTGCGCCGAAACCAGTCATCCACCGCAGAAGCCTCGGTCTGGCTCTGGTGCCACAGTGCCAGGACCGGTTGGTAACCCAAAACACATTGGAAGGGTGTTAGGTTAGTGGAGAGGTGGTGGAGAGAGTTCTGAGCGTATTCTGTCCATGGCAGGAACACCGACCACTCCCCCGGCCGGTCCTGACAGTAGGTCCGGGTGAAGAAGAGGGCCCACCTGGCCTGGCGAGGATTCAGCCTCCTTGCTGCCCGAATGTACTCCAGGTTACGGCGGTCTGTCCAGACGAGGAAAGGGTGTTTCGCCCCTTCGAGCCAATGCCTCCACACGTCAAAGCTCGGACAACAGCCAGCAGCTCCTGATCACCAACGCCGTAGTTCTGCTCCGCCGAGCTGAGCTTCTTCAAAAAGAAGGCATAGGGGTGGAGCTTGGGTGGCGTGCCCGAGCGTTGGGATAAGACAGCGCCTATCCCTACCTCGGACGCATCCACCTCCACTACGAAGGATAGTGATGGATCGGGGTGAGCCAGTACCGGGGCGGAGGTGAACAGACCCCACAATCTACTGAAGGCCAAATCAGCCTCAGCAGACCAGCAGAGCCAGGACGGCCCACCCTTCAACAAGGAGGTAATGGGAGCTGCGACCTTGCCAAAGCCCCGAATAAACCTCAGATAGTAGTTGGCAAAGCCAAGGAAGCGCTGCACCTGCTTCACCGTGGTTGGAGTTGGCCAATTACGCACGGCTGAAATGCGATCTCCCTCCATCTCCACACCTGTGGTAGTAATGCGGTATTCAAGGAAGGAGATTGACTGCTGGAAAAACTCACACTTCTCTGCCTTGGCATAAAGATCATTTTCCAGCAGTCGGACCAGTACCTTGCGAACCAGGGACACATGCTCGGCGCGCGTAGCGGAATACACCAGGATGTCATCGATGTAGACCACCAGACCGCGACCAAGCATGTCCCGAAACACCTCACTCACAAAGGACTGGAAAACGGATGGAGCATTCATCAAACCGTAGGGCATCACCAGGTATTCATAATGCCCGAGGTTGTGCTGAATGCTATTTTCCACTCATCCCCTTCCCGAATACGCACCAGGTTGTAGGCACTCCTGAGGTCTAATTTGGTGAAAAAACGGGCCCCATGGATTGACTCAATCACTGAAGGAATGAGGGGAAGAGGATAACTAAATCGTACCGTCACCTTATTCAGTGGTTGATAATCAATGCACGGGCGTAAACCGCCATCTTTCTTCTTCACAAAGAAGAAACTCAAGGAAGTGGAGGGACGTATATACCCCTGGGCAGGGACTCGGTGACGTATGTTTCCATATCCTCCGTTTCAGCCTGCGACAGTGGATACACATGACTCCTGGGAGGTACAGCGTCTACCCAAAGGTTTATCGCGCAATCCCCCTCCCGATGAGGTGGTAATTTAGTCGCCTGCGTCTTGGAAAACGCGAGCGCCAGATCATGGTATTCGGGGGGAATGCGCACCAACGGAAACACCTAGACACCTACCCGGACACTCACGCGACCACCCCGTAAGAACCCTCTGCGGCCATGAAAAATTGGGGTTGTGAAGGGCTAACCACTGAATACCTAAGACTACAGGGTAAGCAGGAGACTCAATAATCAAAAAAATTATCTGCTCAACATGCGTCTCCTGTGTAATCATGGTGACTGGTACAGTAACCTCCTTAACCAACCTGGACCCTAATGGTCGACTATCAAGTGCTCTGATGGGGAGTGGAATGGATAGGGGAACCAATGAAATGCCTTGACGGCGTACAAATGCCCTGTCCATAAAGTTCCCAGCTGCGCCTGAATCGACTAGCGCCTTACACTGGGAAACTACCAGGTGATCGGGAAAGGAGATAGAGAAGGTAGAGTGCGCCGCAAAGGGCTCTGAACAAGTTTGGGTGTTCGTTACCTGGGGTGATGCGTGAGTACCCTGCTTACCACCTCCAGACCCAAAAGAACGTTGACTGCGACGTGAGGTGGATTGTCCCTTCATGCCACCAGAGTGGCACTGTCGCTGTCCTCCTGCACTCTCTCGACCGGTGGCTCCCCCCAGCTCCATCTGCTCGGGGTCAGAGTCGTCCGGAGTGGGAACGGGCAGACCCCTACCAGGACGTCCTCTGGCTGCTAGCAGATTGTCCAGCCGGATGTCCACCAGCTGGGAGAACGATAGCATGGCATCACGGCAGGCTAGCTCCCGTCGGACGTCCTCCCTTAGGTGGCACCGGAAATGGTCAATCAGGGCACGCTCGTTCCACCCGGACCCCGCTGCCAGCGTCCAGAACTCCAGTGCGTAGTCCTGTGCGGTCCTCATCCCCTGCCTCAGATGGACCAGTCGTTCGCCCGCCTCTCGACCCTCAGGCGGGTGATCGAAAACGGCCCGAAAGAGGCGAGCAAACGCCCGGTAGTCCTCCAACGCAGCACCTCCCTCGTTCCACACCGCGTTGGCCCACTCCAGGGCTCTCCCACAAAGTCAGGAAATGAGGACACACAGGAGGTAAAACACCGAAGTCCAGAGTTTATTCCGTTTACATAAATAAAACTAAACTATAACAAGGGAAAATATTCCACCTTGGCAAATACAAATGGAAGAGTAGCTCAACCGAGCTACTCGCTCTCACAATAAACAATCACTCACAAAGACAAGGGGAACAGAGGGAACACTTATACACATACTAATTAGGGGAATGAGCACCAGGTGTGTGTGATTGACAAGACAAGACATGACAAGAGGAGTGATGAGAATGGGATCGGCAGTAGCTAGTAAGCCGGTGACAACGAACGCCGAAACCTGCCCGAACAAGGAGGGGAGGCAGCCTCAGCGGAAGTCGTGACATCCCTTTTCTCTCTACAGAGCCAGAAAGGGTCTTCACTATGGAGTCTTATGAAAGATCCATACATACTCATTGCTGCAGGTAAGACTGCATCATTTATTAATACTGTAATATTATTACTTCATTCTGAAGCACCTGCTGTGGCATTTCCCATTTCAGTCACACTAAGCAAAGAGCAAAGAGGCTGGAGCAAAGAGGTGGAAGAAGAATTGACTCAGATGTTCCATCAAATTCTATTTCAGCGGTTGAATTTGTGCCTTGAGCCAGGAAAAGACAAACACTGTGTCTACCAATTGATTTCAAAGTTAAGAACAGTATTATTGCCAGGGAGAGTGTTGCGAGGGAGTGAGCATTGCATGTTAAAAGGGGTCATCTCTGCATCAGAATAGATTGTGTATGTGTGTGTGCGTGCGTGAGTGAGTGCGAGCGTGCGTCCGTGCATTCGTGCGTGCATTCTTGCATGCGTGCTTGTGCATGCATGTGCATGTGCGTGCATATGTGTGTGTGACTGTATATGTGTGTGCGTGCTTGCACACTTGCTTGTGTGTGTTGCAGTATGTGTGATACTGAAGTGCTGGGGGAAAATGCATCTATGTGTCACCACTTCAATTACCAGGTCCTTTGGCCAGGGTGAACTAATACTTGGTATAATGTCTGAGGCTGAGGGAGAGTGGTAGGACACACCAAACATGTGAAGATGGAGTATAACAGGCCCAGGGACCACTTATCCTCCATCCCATTCTCTTTTCCAGGATCCATTTGTTTTGCAAACATGGCCATCGCCATGTTAGAACCAGCGTTGCCTATTTGGATGATGGAGACCATGTGTCCAAGAAAATGGCAGCTAGGTATTTTGACATTTATTCTCCTTTTTGTCCCTCTTGACAACCCTGTTTCCCCTATTGACAATGCTGCACATGAAACCATTCTGCCCGCTGAATGTACTTAGAATAAAGGTCCTAATTTCAACTCAAGGTTTGAAAACACAGCATAGCACAATAATAACTTGACTATGACATTGTGGATTATATATAACTTTAGACTTGCAGTAACTTCATAGGTGAACATTGAAAATCTCATTGAATTGAAACCAAATCACTCTTTTTCTTTTCCGCCATTATTACTTATTTTATTAGTGGCGTTGACTATGAGGACTCACACAGATAAAGGGGGATAAGAGAGGGGCTGGAGGAATATGGGGGGACAGGGCAGGATATTAGGGTGTCATTTGAGGGCGAGTGGAGAGCAGGAGTGTTCATTACTGTGTCTAGGAGATGTGCTGGAGCCCTATGATGAAGGCTGATAATGTGACTGCTTATCTGGGCCCCTCTCTCTACCCTGATTCTCTCTCTCTCTCTCTCTCTGCCAGGCGTTGCCTTCGTGCCAGCCAGCATCTCCTACCTTATTGGAACCAACATCTTTGGCGTCCTCGCACACAAGATGGGGAGGTAGGGAGGGAAATTACTCCCCTTTCTTCCGTCTCCTTATCTTCTCCCACGTTGGTATCTGTTTCCTGTGCTATTGAGCAACTCTGAATTAGATTTCTCTGGCAGGTTGGGTATTTGCTGTTTATTGAAGTCTCAGTGTGACAGTGTGTTTATGACCGCTTGGCTAATGTTTGTTTGTTTGCCGCAGTTGATCAGGTGTGTGATCAGTCACATATGAATCATTCGATTTTTACCTCACATTTTATGAAAATACATTTATTTCAGGACTCAAATATTGCCTGTAGCCATAGCAGTATTATTTTAGAAAGTTTGAAATAAGTAACTGTCAGGCGTCAGTGTGTAGCGGTAGGACGGAGTCAGGCGCAGGACACAGAGCTAGTAGACAACGTACTTTACTCGTGAAAATAAATTAACATAATCTCCACGCAGGGAGGACAAATCCCGCTCACCAGTCGATGACACCAAACATAGAACAAACACGCACACAACACAGTGGGAGCCAGAGGGTTAAATAGGGAACAAATCATGAACATAATGGGAACCAGGTGTGTACAATAAAGACAAAACAAGTAGAACACAGAAACATAGATCGGTGGCAGCTAGTACTCCGGTGACGACGAACGCCGAAGCCTGCCCGAGCAAGGAGGAGGGGCAGCCTCAGCTGAATTCGTGACAGTAACTGCTATTTGTTTTTCAAAATGTCCTAATCTTGACCTAAAGAAAACAGATTGTGATCCATTTCCTTCCTCTATTCATTTATTTTAGGTTTAATATTCTAATAAATCGGATTGTGTGGCCTTGCGGTACAAAACAACGGTGGAGGGAGGGGAGAGGGACCTTGACTGTTGTCATTGGCAGACCCTGAACTGCTCTTTCTTCTTTTCCCAGATGGCTGTGCTCTCTCATCGGGATGGTCCTAGTGGGGGTTAGCATCCTCTGTGTGAGTACTAGGCACATCTTCCTCAGCTAGTGTTTAGCATCCAGCTCAATACAGTGCTTACCTTACCTGTTTGGCCTGGTGGTATCATCAATACCATCTAAAGATTGTTTGAGTAACACTATTGGCTATAGGTGAAAGCTAGGGTTTTACCAACCCAGTCATGTCAGATCAGGAATTACATACAAGAAAGGAGGAAGTAATGTCCTACTATATCTCATTAGTCTGCAAATCACATTCTGAGTCTAGGGAAGGGGAGTTCACTCAGAAGTCAACCAGCAAATAGCTAATTCTCTGGAAACAGACAATTCCATTTTCATTGTAGTGCCTTATGCAGTTGTTTTTGTGTGTGCGAGAACAAATGTGGTGAGAGAACAAATATCCTCAAGTCCCACATAAAGATGGTATTCTGGATTACACTGTATACATTTGATCAATAAAAACCCTCTTACACTCTTTACCTTGACTATGTCCTGTGTCACAGGTTCCTTTTGCTAAGGACATCTATGGACTAATACTTCCGAATTTCGGTGTTGGTTTTGCAATTGGTAAGTCAATTTGTTTTGCATTGTACATGGAAACTGCACATTTTGAAATTAGCATCTGGTTTCTAACAGATACTACTGAATTTCTCAATGTCTTGTCTCTTGTCAGGCATGGTGGATTCCTCTATGATGCCAATCATGGGCTATTTAGTGGACCTGAGACATGTGTCAGTCTATGGCACTGTGTACGCCATTGCTGATGTGGCATTCTGCATGGGCTTTGCTTTAGGTAACTCAGATGCTTGAAAATAACCCAGTCACACATTCTTTTTTTTTGTGATCAAGTTTTTATTTTGGGGTTGACAAGACAAACAAAAAAGCACAAACCAAAAGACATTACACAAATACACATTTGTCGCCCCACCCCATCCCACCCACAGGACCCGCTACCTTAAGTACATACACTACCAGTCAAAAGTTTGGACACACCTACTCATTCAAGGGTTTTTCTTTATTTGTTACTATTTTTTACATTGTAGAATAATAGTGAAGACATCAAAACTATGAAATACCACATATGGAATCATGTAGTAACCAAAAAAGTGTTAAACAAATCAAAATATATTCTTCAAATAGCCACCCTCTGCCTTGCTGACAGCTTTGCACACTCTTGGCATTCTCTCAACCAGGTTCATGAGGTAGTCACCTGGAATGCATTTCAATTAACATGTGTGCCTTCTTAAAAGTTCATTTTTGAAATTTCCTTCCTTCTTAATGCGTTTGAGCCTATCAGTTGTGACAAGGTAGGGGGGTATACAGAAGATAGCCCTATTTGGTTAAAAACCAAGTTAATATTATGGCAAGAACAGCTCAAATAAGCAAAGAGAAACGACAGTCCATCATTACTTTAAGACATGAAGGTCAGTCAATACGGAACATTTCAAGTTTCTTCAAGTGCAGTCGCAAAAACCATCAAGCGCTATGATGAAACTGGCTCTCATGAGGACCGCCACAGGAATGGAAGACCCAGAGTTACCTCTGCTGCAGAGGATAAGTTCATTAGTTACCAACCTCAAAAATTGCAGCCCAAATAAATGCTTCACAGAGTTCAAGTCACAGACACATCTCAACATCAGCTGTTCGGAGGGGACTGTGTGAATCAAGCCTTCATGGTCAAATTGCTGCAAAGAAACCACTACTAAAGGACACCAATAAGAAGAAGAGACCTGCTTGGGCCAAGAAACACGAGCAATGGACATTAGACCGGTGGAAATGTGTTCTTTGGTCTGGAGTCCAAATTTGAGATTTTTGGTTCCAACCGCTGTGTCTTTGTGAGACGTGGTGTGGGTGAATGGATGATCTCCACATGTGTAGTTCCCACCGTAAAGCATGGAGGAGGAGGTGTTATGGTGTGGGGGTGCTTTGCTGGTGACACTGTCTGTGAGTTATTTAGAATTCAAGGCCCACTTAACCAGCATGGCTGCCACAGCATTCTGCAGCTACAGTATACGCCATCCCATCTGGTTTGCGCTTAGTGGGATTATCATTTGTTTTTCAACAGGACAATGACCCAACACACCTCCAGGCTGTGTAAGGGCTATTTTATCAAGATGGAGAGTGATGGAGTGCTGCATCAGATGACCTGGCCTCCACAATCCCCCGACCTCAACCCAATTGAGATGGTTTGGGATGAGTCGGACGGCAGAGTGAAGGAAAAGCAGCCAAGAAGTGCTCAGCATATGTGGGAACTGTTGGAAAAACATTCCAGGTGAAGCTGGTTGAGAGAATGCCAAGAGTGTGCAAAGGGTGGCTATTTGAAGAATCTCAAATATAAAATATATTTTGATTTGTTTAACACTTTTTTGGTTACTACATGATTCCATATGTGTTCTTTCATAGTTTTGATGTCTTCACTATTATTCTACAATGTAGAAAATAGTAAAAAATAAAGAACAACTCTTGAATGAGTAGGTGTGTCCAAACTTTTTACTGGTACTGTATATTTAAAGTAATGATTTTATACTGCCAAGTGTTGTAGTCCATATGTTAGTATTCTCTGATTTTGCACCTTGCATTCTTATGTATGTTTTTAAGATGTGGCATAGTAAGAGTTTGTAGATTTGACATGTCATAGGGATAGTATCATGGCATGTCAATATGGGGAAAATAAGGCCTCTATATCCGACTCCTCTATAAGCTCATTAACCTTCCTTTGCTGATGAAGGTCCGTCCGCTGGAGGCGCCATAGCGAAGAGCATTGGGTTCTCTTGGCTCATGACCATCATTGGCATCGTGGACATCCTCTTCGCTCCCCTCTGCTACTTCCTCAGGAGTCCTCCTGGGAGGGAAGAGAAAATGGTAAGACACTGAACACCTTGTACACACGCACATACATGTACAGAGAGAACTACCATACCCACAGGCTCAAACTACTGCCGTCTTTTACAGGCAATACTACCAGGAGAAACAGAGAGAGAGGAACTTGAGACAGAGTTATGATCATGAGACACACCCTTTCTTTGATTTGGCTATCTATTTAAGTTGACCAGTTCAGGTCTCACCATTGCTGTGGAATGCATTCTATTGCTCTTGGACACCCCCACCCCAGTTTCCACCTGCTTTTGGTTCTCCAGACTGAATTGGTTTAGAGCAGGAGTCTCCAACAGGTCGATTGCAGCCCACCTATGAGTAGCTCGCCAAACAATTATGAAAGTACACACAATTTTCACGTGCTTCACCTCAAACTGTCATTAAAAAATCTCACAAGTATCAGACACTGCAAACTCCCAGCTACTATCTAATCAACACAACATTGACATTATCCCACCCCTGGTTAGCCACTATTGGCTTAAAAAGTGTGTGTGTGGGGGGGGGGGCTGTATGAATTACAAACAGCTGTATACTAAGCGTCTCCGTATACACTACAGTGCCTTGCAAAAGTATTCATCCCCCTTGGCGTTTTTCCTAATTTGTTGCATTACAACCTTTAATTTAAATAGATTTTAAATTGGATTTCATGTAATGAAAAAAAATAACTTGTTTCAAAAAATAAAATAAAAATATTAATGGAAAACTGGTGCGTGCATATGTATTCACCCCCTTTGCTATGAAGCCCCTAAATAAGATCTGGTGCAACCAATTACCTTCAGGAGTCACATAATTAGTTAGATTGCACACAGGTGGACTTTAATTAAGTGTCACGTGATCTGTCACATGATCTCAGTATATATACACCTGTTCTGAAAGGCCCCAGAGTCTGCAACACCACTAAGCAAGGGGCACCACCAAGCAAGCGGCACCATGAAGACCAAGGAGCTCTCCAAACAGGTCAGGGACAACGTTGTGGAGAAGTACAGATCAGGGTTGGGTTATAAAAGAATATCAGAAACTTTGAACATCCTACGGAGCACCATTAAATCCATTATTTAAAAAATTGAAAGAATATGGCACCACAACAAACCTGCCAAGAGAGGGCCGCCCTCCAAAACTCACGGACCAGGCAAGGAGGGCATTAATAAGAGAGGCAACAAAGAGACCAAAGATAACCCTGAAGGAGCTGCAAAGCTCCACAGCGGAGATTGGAGTATCTGTCCATAGGACCACTTTAAGCCATACACTCCACAGAGCTGGGCTTTACAGAAGAGTGGCCATAAAAAGCCATTGCTTAAAGAAGAAAATAAGTAAACATGTTTGGTGTTCGCCAAAAGGCATGTGGGAGACTCCCCAAACATATGGAAGAAGGTACTCTGGTCAGATGAGACTAAAATTTAGCTTTTTGGCCATCAAGGAAAACGCTATGTCTGGCGCAAACCCAAAACCTCTCATCACCCCGAGAACAGCATCCCCACAGTGAAGCATGGTGGTGGCAGCATCATGCTGTGGGGATGTTTTTCATCGGCAGGGACTGGGAAACTGGTCAGAATTGAAGGAATGATGGATGGCGCTAAATACAGGGACATTCTTGAGGGAAACCTGTTTCAGTTTTACATTTTACATTTCAGTCATTTAGCAGACGCTCTTATCCAGAGCGACTTACAGTTAGTGAGTGCATACATTTTCATACTGGCCCCCCGTGGGAATCGAACCCACAACCCTGGCGTTGCAAACGCCATGTTCTACCAACTGAGCTACAGGGACTGTCTTCCAGAGATTTGAGACTGGGACGGAGGTTCACCTTCCAGCAGGACAATGACCCTAAGCATACTGCTAAAGCAACACTCGAGTGGTTTAAGGGGAAACATTTAAATGTCTTGGAATGGCCTAGTCAAAGCCCAGACCTCAATCCAATTGAAAATCTGTGGTATGACTTAAAGATTACTGTACACCAGCAGAACCCATCCAACTTGAAGGAGCTGGAGCAGTTTTGCCGTGAAGAATGGGCAAAAATCCCAGTGGCTAGATGTGCCAAGCTTATAGAGACATACCCCAAGAGACTTGCAGCTGTAATTGCTGCAAAAGGTGGCTCTACAAAGTATCTTGAAAGTGGTAGGCATGTATCAAAGGATACAAACCCCCCAAAAATCAATTTAATTCCTGGTTGTAAGTAACAAAATAGGAAAAATGCCAAGGGTGGTGAATACTTTCGCAAGCCACTGTACACAGACAAAAGTATGTGGACACCCCTTCAAATTAGTGGATTCAGCTATTTCAGCCACACCCGTTGCTGACAGGTGTACAAAATTGAGCACACAACCATGCAATCTCCATAGACAAACATTGGCAGTAGAATGGCCCATACTGAAGAGCTTAGTGACTTTCAACGTGGCACCGTCATAGGATGCCACCTTTCCAACAAGTCAGTTCATCAAATGTATGCCCTGCTAGAGCTGCCCCGGTCAACTGTAAGTGCAGTTATTGTGAAGTGGAAACGTCTAGGAGCAACAACGGCTCAGCCGCGAAGTGGTAGGCTAGACAAGCTCACAGAACGGAACCATCGAGTGCTGAAGCGCGTAGCGCATAAAAATAATCTGTCCTCGGTTGCAACACTCACTACTGAGTTCCAAAATGCCTCTGGAAGCAACATCAGCACAAGAACTGTTCATCGGGAGCTTCATGAAATGGGTTTCCATGGCCGAGCAGCCGCACACAAGCCTAAGATCACCAAGCACAATGCCAAGCATCGGCTGGAGTGGTGTAAAGCTCACCACCATTGGACTCACCACCATTGGCAGTCCGACGGACAAATCTGGGTTTGGCTGATACCAGGAGAACGTTACCTGCCCAAATGCATAGTACCAACTGTAAAGTTTGGTGGAGGAGGAATAATTGTCTGGGGCTGTTTTTCATGGATCGGGCTAGGCCCCTTAGTTCCAGTGAAGGGAAATCTTAGTGCTACAGCATACAATGACATTATATACGATTCTGTGCTTCCAACTCTTCTGGCAACAGTTTGGGGAAGGCCCTTTCCTGTTTCAGCATGACAATGCCCTTGTGCACAAAGCGAGGTCCATACAGAAATGGTTTGTCAAGATCTATGTGGAAAAACTTGACTGGCCTGCACAAAGCCCTGACCTCAACCCCATTGAACATCTTTGGGATGAATTGGAACGCCAGGCCTAAACGCCAGGCCTAATCGCCTAACATCAGTGACCGACCTCACTAATGCTCTTGTGGCTGAATGGAAGCAAGTCCCCACAGCAATGTTCCAACATCTAGTGCAAAACCTTCCCAGAAGAGTGGAGGCTGTTAAAGCAGCAAAGGGGGGACCAACTCCATATTCATGCCTATGATTTTGGAATGAGATGTTCGATGAGATGGTGTCCACATACTTTTGGCCATGTAGTGCATACTTCCATACATTTTTCATCAACGTTTTGTGAGGCCTATGGGCATCCTAGAGCAAAACAATTGACATGTACGTGTTTGTGAGAGTCTCACCTTTACACAGAGGGGTTAGTGTGTAGCCCAAAATGTTCGGACACTACAGACAGAAATTGGAAGATCGGCTGTACCAACTTCAGACGAGTCCCAAGACGCTTTGGGGGGTAGCAGAGCAAAATGGAGTAGAGCAAAACCGTTCAGACGCTACAGACGATTTTGTGATGTCTCATGGTCTGACAAAAAGCGCTCTAGCTCTGTCACCTTTCACCGCAGATCCGGAAGTGTTACATAGGCTGATGCGGTGGATTGAGACACATCCAATGCCAAAAAACAGATATAATTTTATGGGGGCCAGATGAACAATTAAAGGGGAATTACACTCAAATTCCAAGTTTTCTACCAGAAAAAATAACAGGGTATGGTAGTAGGTGCCAGGCGCACCAGTTTTTGTCAAGAACTGCAACACTGCTGGGTTTTCACGCTCAACAGTTTCCTGTGTGTATCAAGAATGGTCCACCACCCAAAGGACATCCAGCCAACTTGACACAACTGTGGGAAGCATTGGAGTCAACATGGGCCAGCATCCCTGTGGAATGCCATGATGAATTGAGGCTGTTCTGAGGGCAAAAAGGGGTGGTGCAAATCAATATTAGGAAGGTGTTCTTAATGTTTTGTACACTCAGTGTAGTTTCCCCTTTGGTTGGACATTTTGGGGGTAGATGGTGGTGGTGAATCTACATCGTTTTAAATGCTTTTATAAATTGCACATGGGTATCTCTGTAACTAGATATTGTGACAAAGGTTCAAAGAATGATGCCTCTCGAGGCAGACTAATAAATTGACCTTGGTAGTTGTCTTCCATCAAAGCTACATGACTGTATACGATGCGACCACAGTACAAAGCTCTTTGTGTTCAAACAAGATATATTTTATCTCTGATACTTTGATCCTTGATAACAAATTATTGGTGGCCATTTTATGATCTTTTTGCATTTATGGTAAATGTTTTGGTTGTACTCTGACTCTAGACAGTTGTTTTCTTCTCAGGCCATCTTGATGGACTCCAACTGCGCAATGAAGACCCGATCGTACTCAACACAAGGGAACACAGAGTACGAAGAGATGGAGACAGAGTATGATGAGTAGTAATGGACACCAGACATGTATGTTACCTTCCAGAGGATCTATTTTGTTGTACAAAAACAGAGATAAAAATTGAAAATAGAAAAAAACAGCAAAGCTGTTTCGATGTGAATGTTCCACGTGCGGTCAGTCTTCACTGTTCCATGTCATTGTGATCGTACGACTGAAGCAAACCAAAGTTGTTCTCATTCCCCTGTGGTCACAAGCACGTTGCTTGTGTTTATTTATAGCCAACAGCCTTATCCAATGGAAGTGGAACACGTGTCAAAACAGGGTTTTCATTGGCCATAATAGTAGAACGCTGTGAATCATATTTACTGGATAGATCGCAAAATTCTGTACTATAGGTCAGCAAGGAGTACAAACCTGTCTTAATAATTGACCTATTGGCCATTAACAGTCTTCATCAACATATCTAATACAGAAAAAAAAAAAAAAAAAAGTGGTACTTAGAGAGTTACTTCTATCTGTGTACAAACTGACTTTGGATCAGATTCAACATCTCGAATAAGGCACTATGAGAACACTGCTTTAGTTTTTGTCATTCTATTGGTTGACTATAATTGTATCATGATGAGAGATGGTAAATTATTTAGATATAAAGTATTACATAGCCTATACAAGATACAAGTTACTCAATACATTTGGAATGAGAATTTGTTAACTGCTTTGGACAAGGCAAACCACAATTAATGGATTACATTTCACCTTGAAATTTGCCTTTCTTTCATTGATTCTACAAACATGTTTCTACATTGACGAAATACCTCAACTGAAACCTTTAAAGTCATAGAAAGCTCTATCCCCAGAATCTGGTATAGCCTATGCTGTCCTGGGTTGACTGCTTATGACTATTTGCATGATATACCACATAAAAAACACAGCATTACTCCAATGTCCTCAGTTTCACCTTCCACATAACAATTAAAAAAGTGAATAAAACACATTTTCACTGTAAATAATACCTCAGCTCATAGAAAACATATTTGGCTTTTATTTATTTGTACATACATTTTGGTAAGCCATTTGAATGTGTGGAAAACAAAGACTTATCTGAGTGATTTTTAAATACAGATAATACAATTTTATCTTTCTGTTTACCCTCAGCTCCATTTACAGACAATTGGAAACGTTTATCCTATAGGCCTTTCTTTGTGTGTGTGGGTCAATACAACGTTTAGGTAGAAGATGTGTAACTAAGATCTTTAACTATCCCGATTGATATTACAAGCTATAAAATATACTGTGGTGAAAAGTAAACATATACGGATATAGGTTTACTTAGTTGTCTCTGATTAAACATCACCTTAAGGAGAGAAATTCCATAAGCACTTTATCAAAGTCTAGTTATCCACACATTTAACTCCAAGGACAGTTCTAGTATGTTGACGTTGGTTTAGCAGAGAGAGAATATTGATGTGATCAGTCTGATATGTTTTGACATGTTGTCTAATGTTAGTAACAAAACACTCTCAAAGTTTTATCAAAGATAAATGCACTGATTATTATTTTGTTTTAAGTACACTGAACATCCCAGTAGTGTTAATCCCTAAAATAAGTAGCACCTCAATGTATTTTCAAACACTTAGGTTGAATTTTAAGTCCCAATCTTGACCAATTTCAATCTTAGTTCAACTTTGTTAGTTAATCCCTTGAGAGCATTAACTTTATTATTTGTGAATGTATTGATCACTTCCAGTAGGTCATCAAAAAGTAGACCCTTTTTTAACACACAATGCAGAAAACACAGCATACATTGTTTCCAAAAATGAAATAAGAGTTTCCTATATTGACCAGCAGTTAATGGGCATGCACATTTACTGAGTACACCAAACATTAGGAACACCTTCCTAATATTGAGTTGCACCCCCCCTCCCCCTCCCCCCTTTTGCCCTCAGAACAGGCTCAATTTGTCGGGGAATGGACAAAACAAGGTGTCAAAAGCGTTCCACAGGGATGCTGGCTCATGGTGAATCCAATGCTTCCCACAGTTGTGTCAAGTTGGCTGGATGTCCTTTGGGTGGTGGACCATTCTTTATACACAGTGGAAACTGTTGAGCGTGAAAAACCCAGCAGGTTTACAGTTGTTGACACAAACCGGTGTGCCTGGCACATACTATCATACCCCGTTCAAAGGCACTTAAATATTTTGTCTTACCCATTCACCCTCTGAATGGTACACATACACAATCAATGTCTCAATTGTCTCAAGGATTTAAAAAAAATCCTTCTTTAACCTGTCTCCTCCCCTTCATTTATACTGATTGAAGTGGATTTAACAAGTGTCATCAATAAGGGATCATAACTTTCACCTAGATTCACCTGGTCAGTCTGTCATGGAAAGAGCAGGTGTTCTTAATGTTTTGTATACTCAGTACACATACACACTTCAGTCTGAGGATTTGATTGGCTGACTGGGCCCTGGCCTGCACATGTCATTAGTGACTTTTGTGTGCAGTCAGTCACCAGTATTAATCCACAACACAGGGCCATGAAATGGCTCTCCCCTTTCCCCCACCCCCTCCTATTTGTCCTGAAGCTGACAATGAAAATATTGACTCTCCACTATTCTGCTTTTTGTCAAGACCACTGTGATCTAACAGAAACAGCCAAGCATACAAAGCACAGCTAATAACTGTCAAATATATATGTCATTGTTTGGCAAAGTGCATTTATTACAAACCATTATTTGGTTCTTCAAGCAAACCTGACATCTAGATATCCTGGAAATCTGTAAAAAATCTTTGAAAATACTTGAATGCCCTTGCCACAGAAAAGCACAATGGCACATATTTAAAATGTCAAATAAGACTGCATTTTGAGGTATATGGACTGTTATTTGCTGAACTCTGGGTTTGCGAGATTAACAGGTCTGTTTGAATGGACACTCCAATGGGTTTCATTATATATAAATTATGTAAGCAAAATTGTCTGTGGTGGAGTTGACAAAGAGATAGTTACCTGATACCTTCACTATTAGTTGCATTATTTTCTCTTAAATGTATATTTATATTCCCCGCACCCTTAATCAAAATACTCTTATGTCAAGATGGCTACTATTCTGAGAGATTGTCGTTATTTTGCAAAAACTGTTGGGTCATGTAGGTTACATAATTGATTATATATTGTGGAGATGAATATATTTTTTGTCATTTGTTTAGATGCGAAATGTATTGCACACATGCACAAAAATGTATATGTGTGTGTGCTCATGTTGGTGTATGTGTGCCTTCTGACATGTATGTCATTGGTTTGTGTGTATATCAAATACTTACTAACTGGTACAAAAAAACTAATGTTGACATTTTATAACCTGGGCAGGTTGTTTACGTGTAAAGTGTGCTGATTGTGTAATATATGTTGATAGTCAGTGGGGATGGGAAACACTAAAATAAATGTTGTATACTCTGAAAAGGTGTTTGGATGGAATATGTGAACATTGGATGTCACTTTTTTTTTAAGCAGTATTCAACCAACCTAAGTTTGCTACATGTTTTTTAGTATGATTAATTGTTGTTGACTGAGGAGAAATGACGCCTATTCTTGAGGTCTTTGAAGCAGTAGTGGGAGATATGAGGATGGTGGGGGAGCAGACTATGATGACAGGGGGGAGGTGTGTCACCAGTTCCCTATGTTTGAGACAACACACTAATCATCATGTCCATCTCACCACGGGCTCCAATTACTTACCAGATGCTCAAACAATGATTTCCCATTCCACCAAGGAACCTTACAGTTACCAAAAGACAGATGGCTGTATTTTATCTTTCCCTGTGTCTACAGAACAGGCCTGTGTGAGAGAAAGGCCATTATACCAACGTCATGTTACACTGACTGAGAAAAAGTCTAACAGGAGAAAATGCCTTAAAGTCTTACAGTACCTTCAGAATGAGTTCAGTATTGCTTCATTCAAAGAGTATTTAGAGTAGGAACACACAGGAACTCAAAGGGACATCAGGTGAGCTTGTTTATTGAGGCTATGTACAATAGCGCTTCATCACATGATCCATCTCTAGAACTGTGTACAACATCCCTCTTACAAAAAAAATCTCAACAGCAGAAAGCCATGACACTATGTTAGTATACTGTGAATCATAGGGAGATACAGATCAGGAGCGTATGAATGGGTTTAGAGTACAGAGTTACAACAGCAGCAGCAGTAGTAGTAATGGAAGTAGCAAGACAGGTCAAAATTCGTTTTTGTTTTCTCTCCTCATGAGCTCAATTCCAGCCCAGGGGCCCCAAGTTACCTAACGGTCAGATACGGTTTTCAAGAATCCCTTCCTGATTATCACTTTTGTCTTCATTTCCTACAAAAATATTGCACAACAATCTGAATATACAACAATTGAAGAGATATCAACAAGTAGCAGCCAAGCCAGTTTCTACAAGAGCATCACGTCTATTGCACAGAATTTTGTTTTGCTTTCTTTCCCCTTCACCCCTTTTCTTTCAGCTGCTGTCCGACTGAACCCCAAGGACCTCTTAACCAGCTCTGGTCCTATGCTGAAGCAATGGCAGCACCGCCACAGAAACACACTGTGATCTGAATGAGTCTGTTGAGAATATCTCCCACTACTAGTCGTAGATAGGCTGTGTCGAAGTCTGTCTTGCCTACTAATCACTAAAACTGCATACTGTGTACTAATCGTACTACATACTATTTAGAACATACTGTTTAGTACAAACGTATGCAGTCAGCAACAAATATCAACATACTACTCACCCATACTGAGAAGGTGTCATCGAATGCGCAATCACGCTTGTCCCCCGCCATTTATTAATTTTTGTAGAGCGTGTCCACTATTCTGATTATCAGTTGTTGTCGAACACACATGGGTTTGAAAAGACAATTCTCTTCCTCAATAGTGTGCAGCGAATTCTACTAGATAAAAAAGCCGAAATGAGTATGACATCCGGGCATTTAAAGTATACTAGATTTTCCAAATTTCACATACTATAAAACTTTCTTTTTTTGCATACGCAAACAGTCTACTATTTAGGAGTATAGCTATGGGTATTTGGACACACCCATAGTGATCCTATCCAGAGGCTTTCGGTCC